TCGGGTTCTAATGGCAATACTCAGATTCTAGTTACAATATTCGGGTTCTAATGGCAATACTCAGGTTCTAGTTACAATATTCGGGTTCTAATGGCAATACTCAGGTTCTAGTTACAATATTCGGGTTCTAATGGCAATACTCAGGTTCTAGTTACAGTATTCAGGTTCTAGTTACAATATTTGGGTTCCAGTGACAATATTCACGTTCTAATTACAATATTTAGCTTATAATGGCAATTATTCAAGTTCTAATGACAATGTTCAGGTTCTAATGACACTATTTGAGTTCTAATGACAATATTCAAGTTCTAATGGCAATATTCGGGTTCTGATGACAATATTCGGGTTCTGATGACAATATTCGGGTTCTAATGACAATATTCAAGTTCTAATGACAATATTCGGGTTGTAATGACAATATTCAGGTTCTAGTTAAAATATTCAAGTTCTAATGACAATATTCACGTTCTAACGACAATATTCGAGTTGTAATGACAATATTCAGGTTCTAGTTACAATATTCAAGTTCTATGACAATATTCACGTTCTAATGACAATATTCGGGTTCTAATTACATTATTTGGGTTCTAATGGCAATACTCAGATTCTAATTACGTTATTTGGGTTCTAATGCCAACATTCAGGTCCTAATGACAATATTTGGACCTTCCCTTATCCGTCCCACCCGCCTCTAAAACCGTCCCTCCCACAGCACCGCCCTCGCCACGCCCCTGAATTTGAGCCAGAGGTCCTAAAAAGCCCATCTCTTCATCTTCTCTTCCTCATCTCCTCTGGCACAGCATCCCACCTTCTGGAAGGGTTTCAAGGCTCCTGGGTGGCTTTGAGTGGTTTTTATCGAGTGTTGTGGCTCTCTCTCAGCATGTTTTCACCTTTCCCCCTCCAGACTGAGGAGGGGACACAACTGTCAGGTCCAGGTAAAAATTCTTAACCAGGAATGACAAACAGCATTTTTAGAAGTCTTGTGTAAAGGTGCCAGCGAGATAAAGGTATTAAAAAGCTGCACTAAAACTTCTCTAAGGTTGATTTGACAGCTGCGGGAACCGCGGGAGTTGCCCTGGCTCTCACTCCCCTCTCCCTCCTTCCCAAGCAGGTGGACAAGAAGGTGGCAGGGATGTCCTCGGGGATGCTGAAGAGCAACAAGGAGAACAGCAGGAAGAGCCTGATGAACAGCAAGAGCCCCAGCACGCTGCTGGTGTGGAGCAAGAAGAGCAAGCGCAGCAAGAAGAGCACCTACAGCGGCGTCCCCTTCACTGCTGTGGGGGACAACGAGGCCATGTACTGAGGGGCTCACCGGGCTCTTCTGTGTCCCTCTAGCTCCAGGACTGGCTATCTGGGAAGTCTTGGAAGCACTGATGGCCTGGCTGGGCTGTGCTGGTGTCGGGGCTGCCAGGACCCCTCACCCCAGGGGACAGATCCTCTTGGAAAAGGACTCCTCTATCTCCCAGCTCTGGACTCCTCCATGTCCCAGCTCGTCCCTCCTCAGCGAAACAAGGGGAAAACCCTGATTTAGTCGTGGTTTTTAATCGGTTTTTTGTTGCTCTTCAGGGGTTGGGGGGAGTTTTGGTCTGAGCAGGGCCTGGTTTGTGTCACCAGCTCGATGTGAGGAGCCGCCAAACCCAGCCCTCAGCCATTAAAGCAAAAGCTGTGACCTCCTTTAGCATCTCTTGGGCTTTCTCTGCGAGGCAGAAGATGACACCACTGCCAGAGAGCTGCTGGCACAGCTGAATCCTTCAGCAGCTCCCCCTGGGACCCCCCTGTTTCAGGAGAGGGGACCCCATGGGCATCAACAACTCATGGTGACCCCATCAAGGGGTCACAGCACCGGCTTGTGCATCCACCCCTTAGAGATCTCCCAGTGAAACGGGGTAAAATTAGGATGGTTTGACCATTTTTAGTGCTTTTTTTGGGGGGGGGTGAGGTTTTTTTGTTGTTTTTTAAATAAACCCCCAGGTTGGCTCAGCAAATCCAGCCCCAGCTGCACATTCAGCTTCTTTGGAAGAAAAGGGAAAGACTTACCATTTGTTGTCTGGCCTTTTTTTTTTTTTTTTTTTTAATCAGTAGAGGTGGATTGGCCTAAATATTCCCTGAGTAGATTAATAGCAGAGAGCCTTGGGTTGGTGGTTTGTTGGGTTTTTTTCCCCCTCCTGGCAGGAGATTTAAAATTCCAGGCAGATAACTCCTCCAGATTATTAAACTACTAAATTTCTGCTGCTATTGGATCTTGCACACGTTGCTAATACCCTCACACTGTGCTGTCAGCACTCCAACCCCAGGGCTGATGCATCCATGCATCTTGCTAATTGTACTGGGAATGCCAGGAGGCTCCGAATCCGTGCTCGGATCCGTCGGCAAAATTTCCTCTCCGGCTCCTTCCTGCCTTGGGTGTTATTTTTCCTGAAGGCTTAAAAAGCTCTGTCTGGTCTTCAGGCCTTGGATGATCTTGGTAGGTATAAAATACCCTTCAGAGAGAGGTTGTGGTTGTATTTTTGTACTTTGGAAGTCAGGAGGAATTTTGAGTTTCAGGAAGAGAACGTGGCAGGGAGGGGAGGGGGGGGCGGATTGTTGCCACGGCACAATTGGGACTTCTTCTGAGTGACTCAATCCCCACGTGCCAAGCTCCTAACCTTTTATTTAAGGAAAACTTAAAGGAACAAGGCCAGGTTGGGCAGGGCTTAAGGAGAACTTAAAGGAGCAAGGCCGGGTTGGACGAGGCTTGGAGCAACCTGCTCTGGTGGAAGGTGCCCCTGCCCACGGCGGGCTTGGAATGAGATGGCCTTTAAAGCCCTTCCCAGCCCATCCCATGATTCTGGGAACTAAAGGAGGGTTTGTAGCTCTGTGCTGTTGACCAAGAAGCCTCT